ACATTTTCGTTTTTTAAAAATAATAACAGATAACATAAATAATAAAATAATTTACAATAGAAAATAAAATGAAAAGTACTGATATATATTATTTTTAGAATCAGAAATGATTACAACATTTTTTTTAGGTCAACAAGTTTTTGTATGTATATACCTAAACAAAAATAAATTCTAAATTACTATTATTCTTTTTCTAAAGAGTTTAAAATAACCATCGCACCCTCAATTACGCATTCTGCGTTGCACACACCTTACTCCTACTCACACCTTCCAAACCCTAGTCGGCACCGCACACGTTCTCTCTATCTCAACACTATGGCCGATGCCGAGCACCGAGAAGAAGAGGAGGCGCCCGCCGTCGGAGATGACGAAGACACCGGAGCTCAGGTCGCTCCGATCGTCAAACTCGAGGAGGTTGCTGTCACCACCGGTGAGGAGGACGAGGATGCAATCCTAGATCTGTACGTTCTTTCCTTCTCTTCTTACTTTTTCATTTTACACTTTTTGCCACTTATCGCTGCGGTTGATACTTATTCCCGTGGATCGCAGCAAATCGAAGCTTTACCGGTTCGACAAGGACGGAAACCAGTGGAAGGAGCGAGGCGCCGGCACCGTGAAGTTCCTGAAGCACAAGTCTACCGGCAAGGTTAGGCTTCTCATGAGGCAATCGAAGACGCTCAAGATCTGCGCCAATCATCTCAGTATGCGCTCTTTTACTTATTCTCTTTTGCATCTGGTTTTTTGAATTTTGATTTTGAGGTTTACTTTTTGTTTTGTTGTTGATTTTCGATTGTAGTTTTGCCTACGATGTCTGTGCAAGAGCACGCCGGAAACGAGAAGTCATGCGTTTGGCATGCTAGGGACTTTGCTGATGGTGAACTCAAGGATGAGCTTTTCTGCATTCGTTTTCCTTCCATTGAAAGTAAGTTGTGGCTTTCGAGTTCCTTCTATTGGTGCCGATGATGTTTTTGCGGTATATAGACTTATTGTGTGTTTTGTTGTTTTGCAAATTCACATATAGATGATTTGCAACTAATCCATTGACTTGTCGATTGCTGTTTGATGATAGGTGTGGTGCCAATATGAACCCGTGAAGTATGTCTTTTTTGTGTTTGCTTTTTTGAGTTACTAGGTTGTGCTTGTTTCGTATTTGTTACTAGTTTTAACTTTAAACCCTCTAGTGCTCTTTAGCGTAAAGCTGCTTTTGATGAATCTCTAGTAAAATACTTGTAATACAAAGTTTTTATGAAGTCTTGTGAGTTCAGGGTTTGAAATACTTGCATGTCCAACTGAATTATGATTGTGAACTTCCGTATCACGTGTTCTCTTATTTATCACATCCTCCGTTCATTTTGATGTCGGTTCTCTATTTCTTTTTGACGGAGCATCACTTTGTGTATTATCTTGATATCTGCACATATTTTTGAAGTGAAAATGGTTTGGGTACATCCCCTGGCCGTAACTGTTTTGATAAATTTCAAGTATTAAAGATGTTATTTGATATGGTTCCTAAAGTACTTTCTCATAACTGAATAATGACATATTAAGTTTATGAAATAATTTATCGATTTATGTGATTTTCTTTAATAGATTTAGATTTTAATAAATTTAGTAAATGGGTGGACAAAGGGTGGGGTTTCATAGTTCAGATTCAGAACAATAGATTTTCAATTGGCCCTTTTGTCTTTGTTTCTTGAAATTGTGATATGATTGGTATCCAAGTTTTTTGAGTTTTCTTATATTTGGAAGCTCTTGTCACCCATGATGTAGCATGGTTGTATGTAGCATGGTTGTATGCCATACGGTAACAGACTTGTATGAATTTCCTGTTAATATTTTAATGTTCTCTGATTTGTATTCTTTGTAACATATCTTTGGTTCTCAACACTTTTAAATTATTAAAAATTATTATCGTAGTGCAGTTTATTTCTTAATTGATTTTAGCTTCCACTTACTAGTATGTCGGGGTTGGACAAATACTACTTTATGGTGGATTTTTATTTTCTTTTATGGTGAAATGTTCAGTGTATACTTGTTGGTATCAACTAATTTTTTTTTAATTAGCTGTTCCACCGTCAGGATGAACTATGCAATGAAGTTCTCGTTAACATATTTTCTTTTATTTTCTTTTTCTGATTGGGCCGAGGGATGTAGTATTATTGTAAGGATGGATGGAGTAATTTTATTATCAAATGTTTTTCTCTCCGGACAAATAATGGTGTTGTGTTTGTCATAACTGTAGCTTTCTATATTTAATTATTTTCTGTTGTGTTTTCTTTTAGATTGCAAAAGCTTCATGGAAACCTTCCAAGAAGTTGCTGAATCCCAGAAGGCAGAGGATGAGCAGGAATCATCTACAGCAGCTGGTCTTATTGAAAATTTAAGTGTAGAAGAGAAGGCTGATGCAGAGAAGAAAGAAGATAAGTCTGAGGACAAGACTGGGGAGCAAGAACCTGCATCTGGAAAGGATAGTAAGGATAAAGATAAGAAAGTTGATGAGCCTGCGTCCTCAGCTTGAGTATTTTTTATTCATATTCTATACTTGCAGTCTGACAAGGTTAGGTGGTTGATGTTTTTGCCGCCCATATCTTGGGATATTCTCATGCTTAATAGTTGCTGGATTATGTCACTTAATTGAGCTGTTTGTGTCCTCTTGAGTTTTTGTCATCTGGCAAAGTTAGGGTTGGGTTTGAATTTTGAGGCTTGACTGGTTGAGCTTTCGGGGTTTGGGAGTCGATTATTATTGTTATTTTCATTCTACATATGTATTTGTTGCGAGTAATGAGTCATGTTGGTTGGGAGGGTGCAGTCAAGAGATAGTCAAAATTATAAACGAAGGTTTTGGTACAAGTTGTTTTAGTTTCATATTTTTTTTAAGGACTCGATTATATGGTTTTTCGGTCTGTTCCTCCTGCCTAAGTTTTCTTCATAAATTAGTTCATCCCGTTAGAGCTAGAATTTTTATCATGGTCTCTCGAGTGGAAGTGAAATATGTTGAAAATAGTGGTGATATTCTCTTTTCTTTGGATGGGTTTTTCGTATCGAGTTGGTGTCATTTTTTTTTTTGTGAAAGCTGAAAAGTGGCTGTTACTCTGGTGGTGAAGGGGAAAAGAATGCCATGGGCTATATTTACAAATTATATTTAGCAAGCACATGTTGGTCACGCAACATAACCATAAAGGAATATGGTATTTGTTAACAATCATAGAACACGATGTCTTTGGATGGATATTTATAGTTGCTTTTTTAAGTATAATATGAATATAAATTTGTAGCCTTATTTGAATAAAAGGAAATAGATGTAATATTTTAATCAAGAAGGGGTGCAAGTACAATTAGTAGCGAAAATATAGTTGTTAAACTATGGTTAATATATAAGATTACAATAAAATGCAAGTGTTGCATAAAGAAAATTTTGTAAATTTTTTTATATGAATTATTGTATATACAATAAATGTATGAAGTTTAATAGTTTGTTTAATTGTTCAAGTTTTCATTTATGTAGAATTGTTGGTTTTGATATAAACAAATAAAAATATTTGAAGTGATACCGTATTATGAGGAAAATTAGTTATTAATTTCATTGAATAGGACGTTTTTGGTTATATTATTTAAACATGTTTTAATAATGTACTTTTCATTATAAAAATTTCTTAAATTGTATGCCTTTTTCTGATCAAGATTTTTTCAAATTACAATGACAAAGAGTCTAAATTTAATACCATGTGTATATTATCATATTCTCACAATTAGGATTTTGTGCATATTAGCTCATTCCCAACACTAGGTTGATCTTACTATGAAGTAAACAGTTTATTAACAAATATTTTTTTATAAGTGACTATTATTGATTATTATACTTGGTTTAGAGGAGGCATTTTATTTTTTCAACTATTGTTAGTTTAATTCCGTTTCAAAATTATTTGTTTGATTCATTAAAAAGTTTCCAATTTCAGTCTTACAAATTATAATTGAGAAATGTTAGAGGAGTTGTCTCCTTGAATTGATCTATCCAACACAGTTCAAATTAATCGAAGCCATGTTTAAGTTTTAAATATCAAAAGTTTCATACTGAAAATATTTAATCTTTTGAAGAGCTTTTATTATTAATTTTTTTCATGGTTAAAGTGTTTTTTTCTTTTATGTTTTCAATTAGTTATAAACTTATAATTTCTTTGGATTAAATTCATTCCTTTTTTTTATTTTTTATTTTTTATTTTAATCTTTTCACGTTAGCTCAATTTATCTGGTTGAAAGCAAACTTTCTGTAATAATTTCTCGTGTATTATGAAAAATACACAACTTGAAAGTAAAGCTCTTGTTTTTCATTATCTTGATTAAACATTGTAATATTATTTACTCCTTTAAATGTATATTTTATATAATATCTCTGTAATTGGGCAAAAAAAAAATCTCAATCATTTCAAATCACTCTTTTTGTATATTTATATCTGTTTAACTACTTATCTCTTTCTATAGATCATATTATCTCTATTTTTAACTAAGCTTTTCCGTAGTTAGGTAAAAAAAATAAAAAAAAACCTCGAACAAAATTTGACCTCTATTCTGCAGCCTGAGATAAAGAAGAATGTGAAGGAGTATTTTTAATTACTTATCTTTCCTTAATTAGGTAAAAATAAGAAAAATGGAAAATATTGAGGACCTTTTGCTGAGGCTTTTTTGGGCCAGGATTGAATTGCTTGGAAATTGACTAGTGATGGGGACTTGAACTTGGTTTCAGCTTATGACTCTCCAACATTATTTGACTGGCCAATCTATGATGATTTGTTTAGATGTTAAAGAATGGAAGAAGTGTAAGAAGAGCGGAAAGAACATCCTCCAATTTGTATTGGCTATTGCCACTACAACTAGCAATCAATGGGTTGTCCAAACCATTAGAAAAAGTAAAAACAAAAATAGTATGGAGAAATACAAGATGAAGTGAAAAACATCAAAAACTATGGAAATGAATGTAATACAAACTGACCTTAATTTTGATCTTATCAATATAAAACTTTTACACTATCACATAAAATAATGTTAGAACATAAACAAATTTGTAACTTGGAAGGTCAAAAATGAAGTGTCAACACAACATGCTGAGAGTGCAAAAGCTTTACTCTGAGCGTTAATCAAAATTAAACTCGAAAATTTATCCCTTAATTTACATAAAACTACATGAATCTATCTATAAAATGAGACCCCGCACGACAAAATTTAAGATAAAAAGAAAGGAAAAAAAAAAGTGAATCACTCTTTGATCCTTTTGACCACATATACTTCATAGCTGGTGATCTTTATGCTCTCATCAGGAGAACAGTGAGCGTATCAAAACAAAAACCAATGAGGCTCTTAATGTTTTCTTCCATGCAATGTCACGCCCCCATGCAATGTCAAGTTCTCTCAGTCGAGCTTCTGTCAGTGAATAACATCATGCTTGTGTTTTGTGTCAACTTGTTACTTCATTATTTTTCAAACTTGAACCACTTCCAGTTTGCATAAAGTGATTCATTTTCAAAAGGCAGGGCACTGGTTGGTAGGGGTTCTAATCGTTGAGTGATGACAGCAGGTGGTAGCTTTTGCTTATATTTCTTTGCCATCATATCAGCCTCCAGAAATACTCTCTTTTTTATGAGAAAAGAAAATCAAGGCTATCAATCAATATCAGCCCAACTAAAATCAAAGACACCTTTGGCTTTGTTTGGACAAACTTCTCAATAACCAATTAATTATAAATCAAATGGAGGTAAAATGAATCAAGTTTCTCTCATAAGTTAAAATTAGTTTATACACAGGTTAAAGTTAAAATCAGCTTTTGAAGAAGTTAAATAAGAGAGTTCTATAAATGTTTAAGTGCATAATTTGATTTTAGTTTATGGTAGAAACTTAATTCATTTTACCATATTTTCTTCTTTTATAAATATTTATTGAGAAGTTTATCAAAACAAATTCTTTATTAGGAAAATAATAAATATATATACCTCTTTATTTGATAGAAAAAGGCCAGGTTCACTTTCAAGGTCTGCAATGCTGCATGACAAGAAAAGCAAATTACTAATCTTTTTCATTTATTTATTTTTTTGGGTGATTGGGTGGGGGTACATATGATGGCAAAAAGGAGTTAAAGTCGGCAATTACAGAAACATGAACAAACTGAATGTAACAAACAATTCCAAAAGCAAGTTAAAGTCATAAATCCATTACCTGAGAGAAATTTTATCAGGAAACATTGACTTCACCACAAGAACTTTAACGTTCTCATCAACAGAAAGTATGTCACTGACAGAAGCAATTTCAGCTCGAGAGATATTTGAAACATGCAGCAATCCACTGAAAGGGATTCAATAGGTTCATTTAAAATGCCAGGTTGATGTATATAGGCAGGCTTAATTCAACTTTAACAATAAAAGCTCATAAAGTTGATAAATAAATCTCCAAGTCCAAGATGATATGCCTATAAAGCCTTTATCATAGCAGCCAAACTAGAATATCAGATGATAGAGCAATGATAAGGATAGAAATGAGCATGATAATACTAAAACTATGATAGGCAGGGAAATAATAAAGAAAACTATGCAGGAAGATGGATTGATGCACCTTGTATTTGTTAACTTCATTTAGTAAGAGAATCAAGGTTCAATGAAAGTTGCAACAGTACCAAATATGTTTAGTAATTTACAGTTCATGCTGTCTATTTTTCGTTTTAAGACGACATGATGCCTAAAATGGTCTAGATAAAAGCACTGCAGACAATTGAGGAAGTATTTACATCTGCATGCGTTTTGAAATTTAGGCACTATCAGGATAAATTTTTCCATAAGTACTCGTAGAAGAAAAAAATTAGACCAAAAAATGAAATAAACTTGTGTAATAATGCAGCCCAAAACAATTCCACCAATTTCAAAGGCAAACCACAAGTTTTAAGTTTAAAGAAGAAAAAAAAAACTAGAATGAAGGAAACCAACTTGAATTATGTTTTCTTTCCTTAACATTAGAAACATCCGATGATTCTCTAAGATGGAATCATCCCTTGCTAGAAAGATAAATACCCTTTTGAATAAAGTTATGATTTATCAAACAAGAAAAAAAATGCAAAGCCATCCATTTCCAGGCAGACACTAACCTTCTGTTAGTTTTTCCTAGCTTAATTTGGGCTCCATACGGTAAAATCTTTTTTACAGTTCCATCTAGAAGTGTTCCCTCACGAAGATACCGCTTTTCCTGCAATATCATATAGCACAGTGGAAACTTCAGAAGACAAAAGAGAAAGAAAGGGTTAAAAACTAACCCTGGAAAAATGAAGGAAAATAGCAAGGAAGGAAGAATAGAAAATAGACAGATTCAAATACTAACCCAAGCTTCCTTTTCACTAAGTATCAAATTGTTTTTAGTTTCATCTATCTGAGTAATTTGTACATATATACGGCGCCCCACCTACATCATCATAATCAAGTGGTAATAAGAAGCAAGGAAGACAAAATAAAGACTGAAGATAACAACAAATGTATTCGGTCAAACTAATACGAGTCTTCCATGTATTAAAGAATAAGAAGGTAATTTTCTGATCACTTAAAAAACAGTAAGATATACTACATTCATTTACCTAATGGAAGCTCATAAAGCAATAAAGTATCATGCAAGATATTTTAGATCATCACGTTTCATACTTTGAACCCCATCATAATATATATGAATTTAAATCAAGAGTGGTATATGTTAAAATAAAGAACAACATAAATATAAGCATGGGAGGAAACATTAAGATCTTACAGAGGCAATAAGATAAGACATCATTTTGACTACCAGGTCAGAACATCCTTTTATGCTTAATAACTATTCACTAAGCAGTAGTCAAAATCTTTGGCTACTCACTTGAGGAACAGACTTGGTTTCACACTTTTACTTATAGAATAACAATGAAAGTGACAGGAGAGATCATATAGCTTAAGTTTACACTCAACAGCCACATTGGAAGTAAACTTAATATAATTGCATCATCCACAGCTGTGAAGCTATACAGATTGCTATGAGCAGTTCTACTAAATAACAGATAATAAAATCAGAATATCAGCAGAAGGTATCCCAATAAATAAAAAAAAAAAACCCTGGCTTGGAAGGAAGTTCCAAGGCTGTAACTTACATTTTCTTTCAATTCCGTAAAGCTATTTGCTCTTCTTAGAAGCTCAGCTTTGGGTAGAAAAGCTCGCAAACCCTGCCCATCCAAATTTAAGAAGAGATAAGCATCTACTCAAATGCCACATAAACATAAATTGCAGGTCAATGGCACAGACCTCAATCCTTGTTAGCAGGCCGCCGGTATTCCACTCAGTAATTCTAACCTCAATAGGTTCATTGAGCTGTTTTATCTGCCCAAAATATTAAAAATTGAAAATTTAAATCTAATCAGCATTAGAAAGATGTTATTAGACTTTACAAGAGTTAAGATTGCAAACAGGGATAATGTAGCATTCATAAGATCATGGGTATCAATTTTGTTATTTGATCACAATATATTTTCTCTCTCTAATTTCTGTACAATTATGCTGTAATATTTGCTTACCATGTTGATACAAAATAATAAAGAGTAACAGCCTGATTATTTCCTATTTTTAAAAATTATTTTCTTTTTGAAAACAAGAAAAAAATGTTTGGCTAGAATAGTTTTTGAAAACTGATTTAAAAAATAGTTTCTCTTTTTCAATTTTTAAAATAGAAAACAAGAGCATCTCTATGTTGTTTTGGTTTTCTACTTTCAGTTTTCTATTACTCCCTGGTTCCCGGTTCAATTGGCTAGTCAGAGACAATTTTTAAAATCATGTTCTGTTTTCGTTTTTTAATTTTTAAAAATTATTCCATGTATGTATAAGTGCCTTACCACTAAACCAAATGATTTCTTGTTATTATATGCAACAAATATAATATATATCCTATATATTAAATTTTGTTTTATTTAAATATAGAACTTAAACATAGATGAATGTAATTATTTAATACTTTAGTGACCACTAAACTAACATACTCTATTATTATACAATTGACTTAAATAATTAATTAATACTATTTTTAATTTAAAATTATATTAATTTATACAGTTCAAGAAATCTATAATTTGGTTGTTTTTATTATTATTATTATTATTATTATATTGATTATAGATTTTTTAGATACTTCTTTAAAGCATGGTATAAATTTTATTGAAATTTATAGATATAAAATATCTTACATGAATATTTTTTTTTTAAAAATTAATAGAGACTGATCCAGTTTTTAAAACATTGAAACAGACACACTCTATATGCAGACAACATCATATTAGTTCACAATTTATAATATCAATTTTGGTCATAATAACACAATGCCAAATTGATCCTTCAATTTCTCATTTTTCCATCAAATTGGTAATTAAAAGGACAGAAATTGAACCTTGAAAAACAAAATTGAAGGCATTAATTATCATAGAAGGACCAATATGATGTCACTAATAAATGGAGGATAAATGATTTCATGGGTATATTTGGGGGGCCAAAGCTAGTGTTTGCTCAATATTATATTCTTCCAAGTTCCAATTAAGTAGTCATAAGAACAGCTGAATCCAAAATGATGCTCATATCATTGAATACGATGTATCTGATAAAGTGATATTTTTATGATACAAAGGATATGTGTAGCACACATATAGATATGCATAAATGATAAAAAATAGTATATAATTTCAGTTCCACAAAACCAAACTAAGAGCATTCATCCTGACATTATAAATTATTATTGTCATATATCACTGCCTATTGCCAACAAACAGGAAGAGCATCAATCTTATTTCCCCCTTAAGTATCATTCTTGGAAACGAAAGCTTCCATGTTTTGCTTGTTGTGTGCCTACATCTTGTGCTCTCTGTCCACTGACCAAGTTCTCATCGTTGATCTCATGAAAGAAGAGAAAAGAGTAGTTTTGTTCATATAGGCAGCACTTCATGCCATATAGTTAGACGAAAGTGAAAAATAAGAAAATTGAAGGATCCATATTGAAATATATCAAAGCTCCCTCACTAGCCATACTTAGGAGTATGCAAAGCAGTCTAGGATTTTCAAAACTAAATACTAATAGAAAAGAGTCGGATACTATATAAATATATATAGGTAAAGAATCCAAATGTATCAGTGTCCAATATGAAGCCGATACATAGACATGAAGCAAATGCAAGTATGTACTATATTGATGCCTTATATCACAAATTGTGCATGAATGTTGGAATATATCTACTAAACTAAATACAGGGATGAAGAAAAGAGTAACAAAAGAAAGAGAAAAACCTGCCTCACTCGATGCCAAGCAATGCGGCGAAAGAGCCTTCTGGTGGAAAGCAATGGCCGGCCACTAAGTGTTCTACCTAAAACCTCAGCAAACAAAATGGTTCCAATCTCCACAACAGGCCTTCCAGGCACTGCCACTCCACTTATTGCCTCCTCATTCTTCACAATTCCCATCTTCCCCTGAGCCATGAAACTCTCAGCATCATTGTCCACATCACACAACAAGTTCTCCATTTCCTTACCATACAAGGGAAGCACTTCCTTCGTCAACATTGTACCTAGCAAGTCTGCCCCTACATTAACATCAAGCTTGTTCTCATTACCTGAAACAACAACACCCACCACAAAATCCCCAGGTCTTGGCTCATAGTACTCAACATTAACCTTCTTATCTCCCTCTTCATTCTCACTCTCCACATCACTTTTCTCCTCAGAAACTTGCAATTCCTGGCCCTCTTCCTCTACACCCTCCCCAGAATCCCTTCCTTTGAAAAACTTCAAGAAAGGTGCCAAAGCCTCCTCTTTGGAGGGTTTCTCTTGCTCCACTTCAACTTCAGGAGAAGACTCTTCTGTAACAAGCACAGGAGAAGGCTTGTTCAGCAACTCAAGCTTTTCAAGCTCTTGGGTTGTTCCATCATCAATGGCCTCTTCAGTGGGAAAGCCATCAAACCCATCACTCCTGGAGCAAAGTGTGAAGTGGGTGTAACCCAAGATTGAATCTTTCTTAGAAACTATGGAAGCACGGGGAGTGGAAAGAACAATCTTGGCAAAAGAACGAAACTTGGTGGAATTGTTGTGGGGTTTCTTGATGAAGGTTTTGGTGAAAAAAGTGGTATCCTTAACTGGTATTGTTGTGCAGTTGGAAGAGCAAAGGGACTTACAGGGATGAAGAATAAAGGGCATCTTGGAATGCTGCTGCACACAGCATCACCTTTGGTTTTGGTTTTCAGACAGACGCATTGGTTTTTGTTTTATCCTTTTGAGGTTTCGTGTCTCTCGCTCTGCCTTTGTTCTCCCTTGATATTTTTACTTTAACTTGGTTTAGTTCTCTCAGTTCTGTTTCTAAATCTTAATAGATTTTCTTTCTTGCAAAAGAGATGTGGACAAGGTTAATTGAACTCCAATGATATAGAACTTGTGATTTCATTAATACAGATATTTTTACATAAATCGGATTTAAAATGTTCCCCTGATTTCACTAATATATAATATAAATTAGTCTACATTGATAAACTTTTTAGGTATAAAAATATATTAGAAAATTTAATTATTATATGTAAATATTTTTTTAGTAAAATATATGAAAAAGTAATTATGTTGATAATAATATCTTATTTCAGTCATTAAAATGTGCAAAACCAAGAAACAAAAAGAAAAACAATTTTATAAAAGAGTATATTATTTAAGTATAATTAAAATATCTAGTATCAAAAAGTACACGTTATTATTTGATTGATTCAATAACATTATATTATTTATTTATTAGTACTGAATATATGTGTAAGTTTGATTTATATATATTAATTTCTATTTTTTTAAAATGACATTCTCATAAATTTAATGTGAAATGAGTTAAATTATTTATAAATTATTTCAATTTAAATTGTTACTAGTGTTTTAGTTTGGACAGTACACACATTAAATGTTTATTATATATTATTAAAATTTAAATCAAATTATGTATATAAATAAATATTGTGTTTAAATATATAAATTATATATAAATTTGAGTAAATAAATATTTTTAAATATGTTATATTATATATTTATGATTGTTCTTACCGATATTTGGTCGTAGAGGTGATCCGTCTGGTAAGATCGGTGAGCAGAAGCAGTGCCATTGCTACAATTTTGTTGAGCTTGAGGCTTCTAAGGCTCAGGGGGAGGTAGAGGTCTCTCCCCTAAAGGTCAATCGGAAAAGGAAAAGGGTCCCGAGGGAGGTTGGGGGAGCCTCTGTTCCTCGCGAGGCGGAGGAGGTTGTTACTGGGGCCACCAGCGTTGAGGTGGCGGGTTTGCCCGGGAGTCTCCTGCCCCAGGGGAGCTCGGGTGGTTTCTGAGGGGGCAGCGTCGGCTGCCGAGCCTTTCGTCCGTCCTGCCGGGGTATCTATCTGGGCTTCTGAACGAGCTATTGGGATTGCTTGTCGATGACTTGCTCTTTCTTTGTACGTTCTCTTTCAGTTCCATGAGTTGCGATTGTTTATTGTAGGTGGAAGCTGCCGTCAAGTCGACTTCCCGGGCTGCTGGCCAGGTCAGTACGACTTCTAGAGCGGAAGTTCCGACCGTCGGGCGAGTTACCCGTGTTGTTGAGGTAAGCAACGTGTGTTTGCGATCTCTTGATTTGCTATTCCCCGGGTTGTTTGTTGTCTGGCGGGGCTTAGACCTTTTCCCATACTTCTTTTGCAGGCGGGCAGGCCCCCCGGGGTTCTGAAGGTTCCGAGGTCGACCTTAAGGGAAATGACGGTTATGCAATGATGGGTTACAATTAATGTGTCATCAGGCGTGCCCCTTGGTCGACACGTGGCCTGGCCATTTTGAATTTTGGGAAGAGGTTTTCTCCTTTTCCCGCGTCTCTTCTCGTTTTCGCTTTACTCTTTCTTGGCCCTTCAGCTTCTTGTGCACGCTTCGTCTTCGTCTACTCCCTATTTCTGCTTTCTTTGTCTTTCTTGTGTTTCTTTGAGTTTTCTTGATGGCTGGTGGTCATGGCGTTGGTTCTACTGCCCCTGCTAGGGGCAAAGCATGCGGTAAGGCGGTGGTTACCGGAAGGGGCGCCGCTGAGGGAAAGGAGGTGCCTCCGCCCGGGGACTTAGAGTTGAGTGTCCCTGGCTACGAATGGGTAAAACGCGAAATGGCCAAGTTTGCAAGCGTTTTTTACTCGAGTTTGGAGGTTGATGCGCTCTAGGAGACGCACAGGATTTGTGACCCCTCTATTTCTCAGATGATTCGATTGGAGCCTTGTTCGGCTAGTGAAGGTGTGTATATGAAGAGGTCCGTTGGTTCCCCCTCCTTCTATATGTATCAGAGTTTTTTCAGGGACTTGGGTGTCTTCCTTCCTTTGACGCAGTTTGAATGCGACTTTTTGAACTACGTCAATGCGGCCCCCAGTCAGTTGCATCCCAACAGTTGGGGTTTTTTGAGGGCGTTCGAGGTTTTATGAACGGTTCTAGGGGTGGAGGTGTCCCTTCGGGTTTTCCTCTCTTTCTACCAATTGAAGGCGGGCGCCCCGCCGTACGGGACTCTTTCTTTGAATGGGGGTAAGGAAGGGGGTTTATTTACTCCTTATTCCCAATCATATAAAAACTATAGGCAAGAGTGTTTCCGGGTTACTCTTGTCGATGTCGACCCTTTGGAGGATGGGGGGTTCTATTTTGGCGGGCTGCCGAGGTTTCCCTTCTACTGGTGCCGTGACCCGTCTGGGTTTCATGGGGTGGAGTTTTGGTTTTTTCTCAAGTTTTAGGGCGCGCGTTCGGTGCCCGTTGCGTAGGTGGTTTTATTTTGAATTTATTGTATCGAGACTCAAAGTCGGCTTCGGCTCTTTGTTTGATGGCGTGTTGCGAGGGTTCGAGCTTATCTTTTGCAATGCCGGGGTTCAAATTCGACCTCTAATAAGCGTGACGAGGTTCGTTTTCGACCTCTAATGAACGTAACGAGGTTCGTTTTTGACCTCTAATTGAGTATAGGTATGATGAGGTTCGTTTTCGACCTCTAGTTATCGCGACGAGGCTCGTATTCGTCCTCTAATAATCACTGCGAGGTTCGTTCTCGACCTCTAATAGTCACAACAAGGTTCGTTCTCGACCTCTAATAATCGTCGCGAGGTTCGTACTTGACCTCTAGTAATCACGGCGAGGTTCGTTATCGACCTCTAATAATCACGACAAGGTTCGTTCTTGACCTCTAACAATCGTGGTGAGGTTCGTATTCGACCTCTAGTAATCACGACAAGGTTCGTTCTCGACCTCTAATAATCGTGGCGTGGTTCGTACTCGACCTCTAGTAATCACGACAAGGTTCGTTCTCGACCTCTAATAATCGTGGCGAGGTTCGTTCTCGACCTCTAGTAATCGTGGACAAAATGATGAAAGTAAGAGTATGAATAAAAGGGGACGAGTCATTTTATTGATGAAAATGTGTGCCTCGTTAAAAGCCCTCTCAGCCAAAGACTGAGGCGGGAAAAGAGTGCACGGCTCATTGGTACAAAGTTCAACTGAAATAGAACTTGAGATGCGTAGCATTCCAAGTTCGCGGTATGGGTTTCCCGCTGAGTTCTTCCAATCTATATGCTCCATTTTCCAAGTCTTCTGTGACTCGGAAAGGGCCGCCCCAAGTAGGTGCGAGTTTTCCATCTGACATGTCTTTTCGTGCTTCTCCTAATAGTCGCCATACCAGGTCGCCTGCTCGGAAGGAGCGGGGTTTTACTCGTGAGTTATATCGCCGGGAAGCTCGGAGCTTGCAGGTCTCTTCATGGATTTGGGCCTCGTCTCTAAGTTCGTCCACCAAGTCGAGGTCGGCTACCAGCTCTTGGGCGTTCTGTTCGCTATTGAAGACTTGGCGTCGGTGCGACGCTTCTCCGACTTCAACTAGGATCATTGCGTCGGCTCCGTAAGTTAGCCTGTAGGGTGTTTCTTGCGTGGTCGACTAGGGGGTACAGTGATATGCCCAGAGGATGCTGGGGAGCATGTCAGGCCACTGCCCTTTTGCTTTCCCGAGCCGTTTTTTAAGCTCTTGGAGGATGACCTTGTTGGCTGCCTCGGCCTGGCCGTTGGTTTGGGGGTGCTCCACTGAGGTTGGGAGATGCTTGATTCCGAGTTCTTGGAGGAAGTTCTCGAATTCTTCTGCGATGAACTGTCGTCCATTGTCAGGAAGCACAAGTGGTCGCGACAGCAGGAAGATCTGGCGAAGCTGAAGGGCTAAGTGAGGCCTTTGGTGGAGGAGAACAAGGTTTTGGCCGCCACCCTGTCTGAGGCGAAGATGCAAGGGGCTGAGCTCCAGGCGGTCCGGGGGGATCTCGCCGAGACCCGGAAATCGCTGGAGGCCGCCTTGGGCACTAATGAGGGTTACGCTAGCTAGGTTTGCTCCTTGGAGGAGGAGGTGACTTTTTTGAAGGGCGAGCTGGTGTCCGTAACCGAGGAGCGTCTCCGCGACGAGGTGGTCCTTGGTAGTAAGGAGGAGGAGGTGGCTGCCCAGAGGGTAAGTCTTTCGAATTTGGAGGCCGAGAATGCGGCGTTGAAGAGGAGGCTTGAGGAAGTTGAACGTTCTGTGGCAATGGAACATAAGAGGGGCTTCCTCAAGGCTGCTCGGCAGGCTAGGCTCCTCGCGCCGGGGTGCGACTCTTCCGGTATGCATTTGGAAAAGGTTGTTCGCTTCGGGTGGTTAGTCTGAGAGGATGATGTCGAGGAGGGTTCTAGCAACGACGTCTCCGTATAGGACAGTTTTGTTGTGTATACATTTTTGTATCCGTGTTTATGTATGGATCGTGATCTTTGTATACGAGTTTTGTTCTGCACCAGTGTTTGGTTTTGGTTTTTTCTCAAGTTTTAGGGCGCACGTTCGGTGCCCGTTGCGTAGGTGGTTTTATTTTGAATTTAAGTGTATGATGAAGGGGTCGGGTTTCGGTGTTTGATGCTTGTTGAGATGATATTGATGATTTGGTCTTAAATGTGGCTGCATGTATGATTGGAGCTTTGAGTTGAAGATGATTAGTATATATGAAATATCGTATTTCATGTTTGGTTCTTCTGATTTTCAGGTGTTGGGAAGAAAATTTGTGAGTTTACTAGGTGTAGAACTCACCATCACGCTTGTCACACCTTATAGACATTGAGTGTGGCTTCAACTAGGGGGTCTCTGTCTTGTTCACGATAAGCGCATGTTAGAAGCGTTGAACGTAAGGAGATAGAATTGTATCGTTAAAATCATGTCAGGGTGTCAAACGTGAGGTGAGAAAGTTGCCTCAGATTGGATTGTGTTGGGTGCTAAAGGAGTGGCGTTGGTCGTGAGCAAAAAAAATCGCCTCGAGTTGATTTGGAATGGGA